TTGGTCGCGGGTCAAGAAAACAATTAATGCCCCATTAGGGTAATCTGTTGGATTTTTATCCCTGTTAAGAAAGGTGAACGCAAAATCAATAATTATCAAATTAGTAAATAAGGTTTCTTAATATAATACCGGTTTGTTTTCGTTTCGGTAGAAGTCCCTGCTCAGTAGTGGGAATAACGCAGTTGTTCGTCTCGCATTAATCGAAGGAACACTGTATTGGGAGAATCGAGAGGCTATACACGATCGAAAGCGACCCGTCGTCCCGAGACACCTTTGATCAGACCTTTTGTTACCGAGATTTTCCGCCGGCGGAATGTCAGCTCGAGAATCGAGGGGGAACCCTCTCGATAAAAAGGGCATCCGCGGTATTCCATGGTTAATATCTGATCTCGCCGGGGACCGTCGAACGTGTTCCGAGCGCCGTGGGCCCCAACACTCGGGATAGACCCAATCGGCGCTACCCTACACCTTTCACTTCGCGATCGTTCGCTAGCGCCCGTGTAGACACGAGTGTCCTCGGGGTAAGGTCAGGGAACAACACAACGAGGAGGCGAGCACTCCCGCGGAATCGGTGTGGGTGCTAATTTTGATCGATACCGGTGAACGGGACAGGGTGAATAATCCGTGGCGGCGTTGTCGCGGGAAAACCGGTGTGTTGCAGAAACACGAGATTCCGATCCGTGGGCCGTCGCAGAAAAACGGAGGCGACCTGGATGGCGACGAGGGTAGGGTTCAATCGATACCGCCAAGGTATCGATACTTTTACTTCTTGCTAGTATTGTATGAAGGTGTCGATACTTACTCGGTATCGAAACAAAAGTATCGAGTAATGTACTCGTATTTACTTGTACCGATTCATCCCTAGACAAGGGGGCCCCTGGTTCGAGGTTTTTGGTCGGAACACTACCACTTTGCGAACAAGGGAACTTCGGTACCCAGAGAATTCAGAATTTATTGAAACTTTGTAAGTCTGTAGGGGACCAGGATAGAAACATCGGGCAGTTTTTCGTTTTTGCTGATATTCGGTTCTTTAGGGCGAAATCAACCCTTAAATGTTAATGTGTCTTTTATCATTTAACGATCCACGGGGGCAAGATCGATTGACCGAATGGCGTTCCCTTAAGGGAATTATGGACGGATTTTGTAGAATAAACGCCAGCTGGATAATGCACGACACCGTTAACCGGCAGAGAAATCGGATAGTGTAATCGCGATTCAACGCGGACCTCTGACAAACACACACAGAGTCTCATGTCGGGTCACAGGGATTTTCGCGAACACGGGGCTTATGCAAATTTTTCTTTGCGTCGTGCTAGCGCTCAACCTTTCCGTGTCGCGTACAAGGATACTGTTGTGTTCGGATTCCACGAAACTCCAACGAAGAATCCAGGACGTCTATCCGCGACAAAAAGAATTCGAGTCCGCGTAAAACTCCTCGAAACGACTATACGTTTCATTCACATTTCTTGAATGAAAATTATCCTTCAGAGACATAGATTTGGGGTTAAGATATGGTATACACTTTGGTGATTATATTGCACCGTTTGTTCCATTCGTATTATTGTTTTAATGTTGTTCAGAGGAAGTTAAAATAGATCCTGGACTAGGTTGAAACATAGTCATTTTATTATAGAAATTTCAAGGCCTTATAAAATTATTACTTTGTCAGGCCTTATAAAAATAGTTACTTTGTTACATATATGTAAATGCTTGTAACTATTAGTACGGCTGTTGCTAACTAATAGTTGCGGGTACTAACAGTGGAGACATAAGAGTACCAAATAAAAATTATTTCAGTTAAAAAGAAATATTTTTTAACCGTCTATTTTTCAATTGTTTTAAATAAATGCCCTGTTTTTATACCGGGGAACTATTTAAAAATTTGAGAAAAAATGATGATATAGCCCTATTTGCCCTCTTTATAGACATATGTTCACAAATATGGACACTTTAAAATCGGCCGTATGAAAATTAATTGAAGTGAACGCTGTTCATCACGATGAACATAGGGTGATCTATTTCCCTGCTGGATATTTGGCAAGTATACTTTCAACAGGAAAACATGTCGGGATAGGTGTACGCGGAAGATCCTCGTTAGTTGTTCACGGTAATTTGGCGTTCTATTAATATACCTGAAATCAACCGAGGAGCCGTAATTCCTCTTGCCAAGCCCATGTATGATCTAATCGTGATCAGCGTGCATGCGCACGACCACTGGAAGAAGAAACGTGCCGGGCTCTTAACGCGGACGACCGCTAACTCACGAATTTGATATGCGGAACAGAAAATGCTCGCGAGCATCGTTTTGCGTACCGTTCTTTTTTTCGCAGACTACCGGATTTTTCGCATACCGGGACACTAGACATCACTTTCACTTCTTCTGCTCGAAAGATCGTCGAAATAGTGGAATAAATCACTATCTAAAATTTAGGCGATCATTATAAACTCTATTCGAGAAATGCACAAATAGAGCGATTATAGTCAACACGACATTCATTTAGTAAAACAGGGGAAGTTAGTAAAACCTTCGATAAAGACACTAAGTTCTGTCTATTCTGACATGTTCGTTCTTGAAAATCTGCATAAATATTATTTAATCATCCACTTCGTCTGAATGTTATTTAGATAAAACTTATTCGACGTGTCGACGCGTCCTCAAAGTTTCAATATACGTAAGCACAGTTACGGTGCATTTTCAGGTGACAGTAAAAGTCATGGCTTTTGTTGTCGTGACACTGTATGACAATGTAAATCAATGTCACAACGTGATATCTAGTTTTCACGACGACAAAAGTCATAATTAAACTACGGATTTTGTGTATTTGTAGACTATTGGGTTCCGTGAAATTCAATGAAAGACAAAACTCTCATCTGATATAACAATTTTTATATTTTATTCTGAACCCAATAAGGTACTTAGTGTAAGAAATTCCTAGATTTGCTCTTGTCTTTATGCATTACTTTAAAAAATGTCATTTTGCTTAAAAATCCGCAGTTTAGTCGTAACATTTAGCGCCATGACCGTAAGTGACAATCCACTGTCATGTGAAAACGTACCTTTAACATTAGACCTACCAAGCAAGACAAAATGACTTGTCAATACACTTTTACGACGATTAAAATGTTATAACAGTACATTTCCTCAGATATTTTGCACCTTTTATTACGATATGAAAATGAAGAAATTAGTCAATTTCCAAATTCCTAAATTTTCAAAAGTTTTTTACGTATATCCACCGATCGAAGCAAATGTGCGCTTATCGTCGGTAGTTCTAGTGTTAATAATACTTATTCAGGTGATCCTCGAGTGAAATTATCCATCGAGCAAATAGAAACGTTCCCGTCCGCACCAAAAACGTTGCTCAAGGCAGAATCGGTGGCGTTTGTCTTTTGATCGGTTGTTACGTAAGAGGAGTCCCTGTGTCGATTTTTTGCGACGAGACAAAGATTGATCGTGCAAACCGAGGGAATGCGTGCGCGCGCGTGAGTCACCGGGAGTCTCGATTTACCTTTTTCTTAGCCCCTTTTTCCCCCCACGCGTCGCGACGGTGTTTTCACTTCCCTTCGTTTTATTTTTTCTCTGTTTGTTTTTTTCTTCCTGCTAGGACAGAACTAATATATGCGAAGTATTCGATTGCCGGCGACACGTAATATTCGCAATCGAAATTCGAACAGGCCTCTGTGTGTTGTGACGCCCGACGACGATCTTACAATGTTACAAGACCGACCGTTTGGAGAGCCCGAGAGGCCGCCGGTCCGGTATGAATTACAGACGCCGTTTGAAACAATACACCCAAGCGATATTGCACCTCGGTCCGGCCGTGCCTATGGGAGGATTATGTAATGCCACGAGAACCGATAAGAATTGGCTATCTCATTGCGCCGCTAGGAAACCACGCCTGGACCCACTGTGTTTAAAATTCGAGTGCACCTGGGTAATGGTTCAGGATCTCCTCGAGATTACACCTTGTATCTTCTAAGTGGATGTGTAACTGAAACTGGATGTATTTTGCATTGTAATCTTCTATACACTGTCAGCTGACACTGTGGTGGCTAGCTGCCAAAACTTTATGGGTCGCCAATTGTGTCAAGGGATTCTAGATAACACTGATGCTAATTACATTCAATTGCTTACTACAGTTATTATTGTAAGCGGCTGGAGGGGATCCCATTCTTTAGAGCTGGCTTTAAAGCCTCTGAAGTCCTAACCTACTAGCTAAATGTTGAAGTAGATTCTGTTCTTTAGCTAGCTCTAAAGCCACCAATGTCCCAAACCCTAGAGTTAGTAGCCAAAGGCTTAAGTCAATCCCACCATCGATTGAATTTCCTCCAAATGTGTTGCTTGGAACACCAGATTCCTGGGAAATTTAGTCAACCATAGGTGGTTCACTGTCACATAAAGATCCTCAAAGATCAATTCCAAGTTACTCAAGACACCCCGGGCCAGCAGCCTGTATATTGGGATGTTCTTCACGTTGATTACCCGTTTTTGCTGCCCGTTTCTTTCCCAACGTCACCGGTTCCGTCCCCGAAACGGCGGTCCCCTAATTGCGCCCAAATTTGTACAACAGGCCAATCCCGGGGGCCAGTTACGTGCCCAAAGAAAAGGAAGGATGAATCCCACTCTCTGGTCAGTCGAGGACAATTGAACCAGAAGTCGGGAAGAAAATACACGACGGGGGCCGGCCAGGCGTAATTAAATTCAAATTGGCCGTGTTTTACCGTGGCCGCTTCGGCGGATATTCTTATCACGTTGGTGGACAAGCGGTCCTTGCTAAATATTCATCGTGTGTACTCCGGTGAAACGTGAACGAGAGAGGCCGGGGAAAGGAGAGAGGTGGACGGGCCTGTTCCGCGAATACGAAGAAGGTATTTTACTGCCGATTGTGTTCGTAGATGGCAGCACGACACGGATGGAATAACATTTACCGGGTAGAGGTGACACGTGGGCCTTTTTCTGCTTGTCTCCCAACCCTCCCAAAAATTTTTCTTGTACTCACCGTCCGAGGACATAGCCAGAGGCAGCATATCGCCGGCGGCTTTCAGCTGGTCAAACTTCTCTATTAGCAGCAGCAACCTGGAACGTCATATGGGTACTGTGAATTATCACAGAGCTGTATTCTTCTCTGAGGTATCATGAAAATGACCCGTGGCACATATACAGGGGTATTTCGTGTCCCTGGAAGTTGTATCAACGACGAGGTATAGTTGTATGACTTGTCACCTTACCGGGCTTGGCGGTCCACCTAATGTCTAGTACTGACATCTTAAAAAATCTGTGATTTTAGTGACCTCTACGTTATAAGAACGGTGTGGGCAGTGACACTAAAATCGTAATGGGGCTCTAGAGCCCCAGAAATGGGGCAACGTTGCCCCAGAAAAGTGGGCCGCAAGAATATATTGGATCTTAGGTCTACTTCTACATCTCGTCGTTGGTTCTATAGATTGGCAATAGTAGTAACTGACCAGGAAGATTTACATTGAACATTGTAATCGTGGGAAGACACTGTTTTCCGGATTGAACTGGTCCAGGCCAATTCTCTTTACTTACTTAGCTTGCGGTACATTGTGCTTTCTCTGCAAATCGACGCGCAGCCGTTCGCCAACGTGTCTGTAAATGTCCGCCAGCGTGTTCATCGCTGTTTCACGGACTTTTTCGGATGGATCCGACAGCAGCTTCACGATGCTTGGTATCACGCCCGACAGGATCATCTCATCCGCGCCATGCCTGGAAAAGGATTCATGGTGTAGTTTACAATCACATTGTGGTTTACAAAAATACACTTTTTCCTTTCAGACAGACACTACTCGAGGTTTCTTTATTACAATAATTGAGCCAAGTAACGCAAAAAGCTATAAACCCTCAATAATCGGAAATGAAGTAAGTTTAGTTTGAAGATTTTAATCTTTAACAAAAATTTATTTAATAGTGAGTAGTATAATTAATATTATTTTAAATTTTTGATTATGAGAATGGCATAACTCAAACATCTAAAAAAAACTGGACGAATCATTTTTTTGCATTTTTACAGAATAATTAATTGACTTAGGCCACTTGCACAATCAGCGCCACAAATAGAGACCTCATCAAAGTTTACTGAATACTTCAGTGTACCCAGATTAGGACAATTGGCCGTGCAAGAAATGTACAAAAACCACAGCTTAATTACAATAAACAAACGTAATCTACAACATAAAGGGGAGTTCATATGCATCCAATAAAACGAATCCTTACTCGTTCAACGTAGTCGTCAGCAGGATCAGAGCTTCTTCCCTTAATTTAGCGTTCTTGTGATTGAAGGCCGGCCGTAATCTGTCCAGAAGCTGCTGAGGCGACATGCAACCCTTCTCCATAATTTTTAGGAGTACCAACTGCGCTTTTTCCCGGGTCGCATCCTTACTGTCACCTGTGGACATGTCAAGCTTAGAATTTCCTTTCGTCACAGGCCAAATAAGGCAACACCTGTGGGTGCCTAGGGGAACTGAAGGGGTCAGCAGCGGTGGACATATCTACAGTGCTTGTCCATTTTCTAATAAAAATATACAACGAACCTCCTTTTGTTCTATTAACAAGGAAATTATTTGATTTTATCGGTTCCGACACGTGTCAAACGATAAAGTTACAGCCGAGACATGCCGTCTACAGGACCAGGGCGAATAGTTTCTCAATTACATAGTCAACTAAACGCAAAGGATGCTGGAAGGTTGCGGTTTAATCTCTCAATTGTCAAGAATAACGTACGGACACAGCGAAGACAAATGGCGGGACAGGAGAAACCGCAACACCTACCTAGTCTATCTATCGTTGGCTGAATAATGGTGGACACGTAAGGCTTGAAGTCGTGGCCCATTCGGTCCGCCAGGTACGTGAGGATTTCCAAGCCGTTCTGGACAACCTGCAACAAGGAACAAGAAACGCTTTTTTAACGGACTTTGACTGACAAAATACGAAAGAAAAAACCACCTAGAATAAGTTAGTAGAATAGTACTCCCCTTCCTTTTCTTTTTCCATCTTATCTACTTTGCCTAAACACTCTTCCACCTTCTAGTATGGATTTATAACCATATAACAATATAAATATCAAACGTTTACTAAATAATAAGAACTATTTTAAAATAAGAATAATAAAAATTAGAGTAAGGATAGCGCAAGAAAAATTATAATTTAAAAGCTTCGAATTAGTGTGCCTAATTAAAGGCTTCCAAGAAGAATTCTCCATGAAATCGTGAATGTAAAATGTTACCTTTCATTAAAGAAAAAAATACTTAAACGTTAATAAAGCTATTTCAGTATTTTTTATCTTTCGATCAACTAGAAATCAATGAAGACTCGGCTGCACGAGAGGCGTCGATTAAAGACTCATCAACGGAATTAATTTGAATGTTTCGCGGAGGAGGGGTGGGGGGCTTGTTAAAATTCTCCAGGCAACCAGGGGTGTTAAAGTGTACACAGCACCATGGGGTCCAGCACACGTTATATTGATCCAGGCAAAGACAAACTCTGTCAGCGCTTCCCTTAAACCAGAAAAAAATCTGTAAACCCCTAGCGCGCGCTTTCCCTCTTGCCCGTAATTATGCTTCGTCTGCGAGCCCTCTCTCCTCTCCGCGTGCACTCGTAATGATTACTTCACGGGAATTTTTTTTTATATTTTCTGTGTTTTTTTTTTTTTCACCTCCGGAGGAGGACGCCGTCATCAGAAGCGTAATTGCGGAGGTTTGAGCGAATCACGCACGCGTTCTGATTCCGTGGTTGCGCACTGGAACCCCCTTAATGCATGGGATTTAACCCTAGGATGCATAACGTGGGTGTTTTATAGCCACTTGAATATTTATTCTTAGATTTTTTTCTTGTGTAATGGAACAATCGCGTATGTGACTTTGTGTATTCCTTCCTTACAAATTCATGTATATAATAATTACTTCTTAAGCGTAATAACAGAATAATTAAAGGGAAAATAATTATATATTCAAAAGTATGAATATTCGAAATATCAATATTTGAATTGAAAAGTATCGATATTTGAACTGAAATATCGATATTGTAACGCCCATCGCTACCATGAAGTTCGATGAATCGTCGACGTCCAGACAGAGGATCTATCTAAATCCACTGTCCCCGCCAGTCAGAGGAGAATCGTGAACGATCAAGGCACACGAGGTCTCGGGCGTTAATGATCGAGGCGTGTGCTAATTATATGGAAGCCAGGACACCGAGAGAGAGAGAAAAACGAGAGATAAACGAAAAGCCTCGGCGCTGAGCAATGATGTCACAGGCCAGACGACAGGCCCTGAGAGAACGTTTACCCCGCGGGGCACTAAAATAGGTTGATATGTCTATGTATAGCGGTTCGTTAATGGTATTTAAACCGTCGTCGCGGAGTAATGGACGGTTTCGTAGACAGGGAGTGACATTGGATCGATCGTGGACAACCGGCTGAAACCGATTTTTCTGCCGTTAACGAGACACTATCGAATACAGGTTGACGTCAGTGTCAGAGAGATGAGTTTGAATTTTTATTTTAGTAGGACAACCAAGCGGAAAATTTTTGAAGCTCCAACGTTTTAGTGACTCATATAAATGGACACTAACAGGGGAATTTTAGTACCCCGAATATTCCGATTTTTTTTTTAACTAGTTTTTAGGAGATCTTAATAGATGCAACTGTAAATTTTATGTTGTTACTGATATTTGGTTCTTCGGGGTGAAACCACCCCTTAAAGGTAATCGTTGTCCAATTATTCATCTCTGAAACGACACGTCTATGTTTAAGGGTTAATCTTCAATGAAGGATGTACGAGTCTGTTCGAACCCTTTCTATCGAACTAGTTAAAAAACTTCGTTCTCCCGAAGCTAAACAATCAGTCTGAAATGTTTATACAGTTAAAATTAGTATAGGTCAGATTAGACTCAGGCACCGTCCGCCGTATGGGTATTGAGACCACCAGGGTTGCGATGGTTAAGCCTCGTTATGGCTCAAGGAAAGTCGAAACGACGGGTTTACTACCGGCTAGGGGGTTGAACCGAGGATAAATGCACCGCGCAACGCTACACTTGCACTTTCTATATTGATCTGGCTCCTCGTCCTCCCGTAGGAGCGGTTCGTTCACCCTTCGAATCCGTTCGCGTGTTCATCGTTGGACGGTTTACTTATTAACCACCAGTCTTGTGTGATCGTTGGGCGTGGTTATCGTCTGGAAAGGAAACAATCGAATGGAAATTGACGGGCTGTTCGATGGATGAAAAAGATCCAAGATACCCGAAGGCTTATCGTTAGTCCAGTGCTCAGGGGAGCAGCCCTCTAGGCCATTTGCTTTTCCAAGTTTGTACGCTAACTCTTGTCAAAAGCAGATCTCGGTGTTTCGGATAGGATCAAAGTATTTCAGACTTGCTGATCGATCGTTTGAAAGCATTCTTAGAGGACAATCCTTAAAGATTAATTTAATGGTGTAGAAGATGAAGTAACAGTGAGCAGACAGTAATAATCTGAAGTAGTATAATATGTGAAATAATATTTTCTGTGACTTTTGAACATTCAGAAATGTATGAAAAGCATTACAGACGCCTCTCGATTATTGTCTGGCTTGTTCTACACGATTATTGTCCAGGCATTATTCCCATCACTTCGATGGAACCTGTCAAGCGCATACTTTGTTGCTGAAGCATTTCTCCCTGCAAGATTATTGTCCCAGCGCGGACACGAGTTCGGGACAATAATCGAGAGGAAGAAAGAGGTGATTTGAACCAACTGTTTCCTCAGCGAAAAACACCGACCAGTCAGAGCGCGAGTCTGCCCTGCTGAGCACTGATTGGTCGGTGTTTTTCGGTAATATCTCGTTAACGAAGCCTCGTAGAACTTTTTCGCTAAGGAAAAAGTTGTTTCAAATCACCCAAGGAATCAACCCTTACAAGGATTTACACCTGTTTTGGGACACCTTGTATGGATCGAGCAACGGCACCTTGAACTCTATCTGGCGAATCTGCTAGCCCACTGAGTTCCCTCTTGAGGGGCAGAGAGGCTCTAGGCGACCTCTTCGCCGAGCGACAAGTAGATCACGAACAAGGGAGGGGGGGACGACAATAGATCGTACGTGCACACGGTTCGAAGATCGTTCGGAAGGCACGACGCGTGGGCGAGCTGTCTGGCCTTATGCTCGGTCCAAGCAGAAAGCGGGGTCCGTTAAAACTGTTAAAGCCACGTGGGAGGGCGGCTGCTGCCTCCCCTCTTCTTCTTGGCCCGTAGTGCCGATCGCAGCCGAAATGCATTCGCATTTTTCCTTTCTGTTTTCTCTATTTTACCCGGTATTTTCGGCACTTATAATTATACCGGGTCGTTACCGTGTGCTATGCTCGATTTTACTGAGGGTAAATCTATTAATTCTGATCCAGACAATTGAGAGAATGTAGCCAAGTCTGGGGTGGAAAGGGGGTAGTGCACAATTCCGAATTCTCTGCTGCATTATCCACGCTTATTTAACGTTTCTACGGCGACCTTTCGGTCGTGTTATCGAGCGGTGTGCAGTAAGGTGCACATCGACGGAGACGTTATGCAAGTGACAGTGTATCTATGTGTGTGTGTGTGTGTGTATGTATATACACACGATCTGACGCATGTAAAAAGCATCGAGATCACCGTCGGTCGCGAAGGTGGTGATGTCATGGTTTTAATTCGTAAAAGGAAACGTTCGTGGCGATTGAAAAAAAAAAAAAAAAAAAAGAAAGGAAGAGAACGACCGATAGAGAGAGAAGGGGGGATCGTGAATGATCTACAGTTGTCCTGCGCCCTTGACATCGATACACCCGGTGCAACGACGCCTTGGAGAGCAGAAAAACAAATGGCTCGGCTCTCCTCGGGATCTTCCATAACGAGTGGCGCATTGTGATCCAATTCCAGGCGTGACGGTCGAACGAAACCGATACAGGGTGTATACATACGGAAACGATCGTCGAATGGATCGTTCTCCTTGGAGGAGCTGTGTGTCCTTTGTTATTTAACACTGGAACCGTCAGACGTTGAATTTTCAATTGTGTAATATAGTTATATACAGGGTGTGTCACCTAATGTTCGCACCTCAAATATCTATGTTGTTTTTAAAGATACGTCAAATGTCTTGAGAACAAAATTGAAAGGTTGAATGGGGCTCACACGATGTCAAAAAAAATTAACTAATTCTTTACAATTCGTATATTATACTATACTAAGCTATACTGCATTATATATTACAATGCTGTTAATTTTAGTGTTAATTAAAACATAGGATAAAGAAGGTCCTCGTGTGTATCTAGGAGATCAAGTAGATTTTCCTCGTGCGTAGTCAGACACGGGCAAAATCGGTCGATGACGAATTCATAGGTAAACTGTGTGGTTCTTTTAAAATGGAGATTCAGGTTTTGTATAGTTTTTTTTTTTCAAGTCTGTATAAATTTATCCTCCAGACTTGTGAATTGTTGAAATTTATGCCAAATTAACATTCGATTTAACATTTATATCAGTACTTGAAATAAATTTACCAAATGGTAGAAGGCCTTTCTCTTGCGCCACTTTTTCCCCTAGCGGAAGCCAAGTTTGCTTGTGAGGGTACATGTTTTTATGGCGTACATCTGATGGTGATAAAAAAAATCCTATGAAGGTCATTTTAACGGTTTTTTCAAGGTCGTTGTATTTTTTTTTTGCATATTGACATGTACTTTTTATAAAGCGACGTGGTAGTCGGCGTCAAGATGAACTCAACAACCCACACACCATGCCCTTAGAGTGACCTTGAAGGCGAAGAAATCAGCTTCAGTTTGAAGAATGCAAAAGTAAATAAACGTATTAAGTAAAAAACATTTTATCACCATCAGAGGCACGCCTTAAAACCATGTACATCCTATTGAGTTATTTTTTCTTACTTTCAA